GCAAAAAATGGTGATAATCAAACTTTATTGAAGTTTCACAAATCAGAAAAGAGTTTAACAAATCACAAACATGGTTTTATTCATTCAGCTCGAAGCGGAGAATAATCCAGTTCAAGTTTCAAGTCTCTAGGTGTAGTTTTTATACTAGAGTCAATTAAAGATACGGAAGGTAGTGAAAAATTAAGTGGAATCGCCCTTTAGCTTTTGGAAGCTAGAAATAGAAACCAACTTCAGCTTCATCAACCTAACAGTGTCTGTCAAGTCTCCCGTTTTGGCGGAGAAAATACCAGTTTTTACCATCCTCCCGTTTTAATATCCTCCTGTAAATATTCCGCGTTATCCAACACCCCTCCACACTTGCCCCTACTCTGACAGTAGCACCGGACGGCGACATTTCCCATTTTCTCAAGTGCAAAACATGACACGTCTGGGAAAAATGTGAAGGTGTTTCGTACCTATCCGGTGGAAGATGATCTTCGGTATCCGGGTAAAATCCATCAGTCCGCGCTGATCCTCCATCTCTTCCTCGATCTTAACGTTGATTTCTGTCTGATCCTCCATCTCTTCCTCGGACTCGATGTTGATTTATTCCAACTCTGTGAATGTTTCTTCAACGGGAGTTACCTGCTCGTTTATAAACTCTCCCTGAGGCTGAACTCCAGCTCCAGCTCTAAAACTACAACACAAGTTTACTGAACACACGCAAATATTTCCCTAAGACCGTAAACCCGTCTTCCAACGAACCTCTAAGGAAACAAAGGCCCTCTCACAGGAGTCGCCCTCCCTCTCCATGTTCATATTTGAGTGGGCAGTGTGGCCCACATTCTCCAAACCCGCCCTTCGCCCAGCCCATTTCGGTCCTATTTCAAGAAAGCTCTCGCTGCAGCAAACAGAAAGGGGCGGGGGGACGGGCCACTGTCAGTCTCATACCGTATTTTGAAATGGGACCATTGCAATCCGGAAGTGAAGGAGGCGCTATTTCCTATACTTTCATTTTTATTTTCTTTTGAAATCTGTGATATATTTTCACCTTTAGGAAGGAGTTTCGCTCTCAGAATGTTTTTGAACTTCTCTCTTTTATTTACTTCACAGCAGCTCACAGTTTGTAGCTTTCGGTGTACTTCTAAATCTGCTCCTTAGTCGCATCTTTTCGGGCTTGTCACTGCCTCTAGTGGCATGGGGCTGGTAGCACAACTAATCTAATTACATTACTAAATCAGAATACCACAAAGTCTTTATTACTTATTATTGATTCTTGCATTACTGGAACAGTAAAAGATAAATCCCCTCACAAAAGAACATACCTTTTCATTTTCTTAAGTAGAGCTAATTAAGTGAGATAAACAAGAACTGAAAATGATTTCAGTTTCACTGGATGGCCAACTTGTCAAAACTGTGGCAAATTTTAAATACCTTGAGTCGTTCCTGGACAGTCAGCTTAACTTTCCTGAAAACACTGACTATATTTTTAAGAACCGTTCTCAAACACTCTACCTTTTAAGAAGAACTTGGGGTTACCCAACTTGAGGTTGTTTACAACCTCTAGTTTGGTAGAGGTGAGGTTGTTGAGTTAAAATGTTAAAACTAAACATTTTAACTCGAGTTTTAACTTTTCATCTCCTCGGCTGGTTTGGCCACATGAGCTGTAGACAACTCTATCTTGTTATGGAAATGTCATTATCAAAGAATGAGAAGCTGTTTCGATAATAAGAGAAAGATTAATCTTTGTCTTTAAGTTTCTTTATTCAAAGGCAAAGGCGTTAGAAGACCCTTATCACTGAGTGCAGTCAGGAGAAGAGCCCAGAACGACACACATCACATAGTTATATAGTCACAGGAAAACAAAGACCCTCCCAAGGTCTGATGTTATCTCTACTGCCAGATGGACCACAGAGACATCCTGACCCCCAACTCATGAACCATCCCTCACCTCTTGGAGGGATGATTTTATGGCAGGATAAGGATGTCAGGAGGAACTTCTAACACTTCTTTGTCAGTTAGTCATGGGTTCAGGTCAAACAGGATACAAACTACATTTCACACATCAGTCCTTTAAGACAATTATCAGATCAAGCATTTTACCCAAGATGTCTTCAGGTCTCTTCTGCTATCACAGCTGTAGAAACATCTAAAAATTATCTGCAAACTTATTTAATGGAAAAAGACATCTTACAGAAATACAAAATACAGCAGATATAATCTGTAAATAAATGGTAAAGAGTATCATCAGTTCCATCAAGAATGAAATAAGACTGAAAACGAAATTTTCTATTACAATCTCAACTGTTTGCTGAAAGAACATGAAAGACAGCAAGAAATACTTTAGCAGAGAATATCCGTCCTTTTTATTCATCAGTTTGAACCTCTGAGCTCATGAAGGTGTTACTGTGTTCCTATGGCAACTAAGAACATCTATTAGACATAATTTATTAACAGTGCAATAATTAATCTTAACCAAACTAAATAATATTTACCTATAGCGTGCTAAGTGTTTTGCTCTATTCACAAATTGTTGATAATCAATCAATCATATCTTTATTCCAGACACAAAAATGTCCATAGAAAAAAAGGTAAAAAGAAGCAAAATAATATAAAAATAAACATGACATATTATTTGAGTCACAAATAAATGATGATGCCAATGACTCCATAATCTTTAAAAAATCTCACTGTACTAAAAGCAGGATTCAGTAAAATTGCCTATATTATTGCATGACACAGATAATCTACACATGCATTTATGCATGAGCACACATATGAGAACAGCATTATGTACAAACATATAGCACTACTCCATCTAGGCATTTTGCGTAGGAGCCTCATGCCATCATTGTATGCCACATACAATTTCTGCAGGCTACTTGTTTTTGTATCGTCGGCACAGATGAGCCGTGTAATAATAATGTGATTCATGAATATGATTTATCGTTTTAGAGTCGAAGGAAAATTTCCTCGTTGATAGATTAAATAGTTTCATCTTTTTAAGACACTAGCAACAAAAAGTCTCTCAGAATAATAAACATGGCACTGTAGAAACAAAAATATAACTTTTTGCTTATATCTGTTTAACAACCCTGGTTATAACAACCTGGGTTGTTATTCTTCTGTACCTAATTCATTTGTTTATTGACTTTTGCTCAATTAAATTTCCTATGTATACACTTAGAATAGTATTTTCATTATAGTTGATCATGCTTTTCATGTCTCCTTATGTCTTTTGTTCCTCACATAATTGATGGAGATATACAGATATTATTTATAATGTATAAATGTGTTGTCATTTAATTAACTCTACATCCTTAAGAAAATGAAATAAAAAAATTATATGATAATTTATCTTTTATGGTGCCAGTAATGCCATAATTAATAGTAAATAATAAAGTCATTGTGATATTCTGATTTCGTAATGTAATTATATTACTTGTGTTAACACCCCTCTACTTAAGAAAATGAAATAAAAAAATTATATGATAATTTATCTTTTATGGTGCCAGTA